TATAATATAATATAAAATATTCATTTAAACTTTTCTGCTCAGAATGACCGATTCTGTAATAGCTATATATAAATATCCATCCTGTACATTTCGGTATCTGCACATACTAATGATGAAAAACTCCATGATATCGGTATATTTTTGAAATTTTGTGGAATATTCCGTATTCCTTCTCAATTGTCAGACGCACACCCGAAAAATATAATTTTGACCATGTATTCACATACTTTTGTTGTTCTTAAGTAGACCTACTAACACAAAATTTTAAAATGTTGAGAGTGATCATCGCTATGTTTGCTGATACTTACTCATCGGGATAACTTTGGTCAGCAACAGACGGCTTCATGTTCCATATCACTGTTTTCTTGTGTTCAGAATTAATCATCCTGCGACGGGTAGTCGGTTGCCCTGAACTACTATTATTTTTTGGAGTAATGTGCAGAAGATAGCAACCTCCAAACACATGAGAGAAAATAACAGAAGTGTACTGAAAAAGAGACAAAAGTGAAATTACTAAATGTAAAATGGAAATATTTTCAGAAACTCCTACAAATATAAAAAGTCCATCCAGCACGATTGAACATATTTTATCAATGCCAACATGTACTATCATAATGATTAACACTGCAAGCGCAGCAAATAAGTGGTTAAGTCGAAATTTGCCAAAATGAGTTAACGATAACGACGATAAGTAGCTAGTGTGTAAGTGGCTAAGTGACGAGCTGATTTGAACTAGTAATAAGGAAGTGCCTTTCTATCCATCTTTAGAATTGGCAATCTTAAGTAGTAAATCCCACTAAACTAAATACCCACAGTTAATAAAATAGAACACCTATTCTCCAAAGTCTATCTATTATTTACTCTCAATGAAACGCGGCACGTTAACCATTTATGTACAATTGCTGTAACGTAACTCAAATGACATTCTACGAAGCCATGGCTATCGCAAGTGGACTGTCTGGTAGTGAAAATTGGACCATAACTAAAAAAGATAAAAACAGAATTCAAGACACAGAAATGATATTTTTGAGATCTATAGATTGGAGAGGCCGAAAAGATATTCAATAATGAAATTCGCGAAAGATTACGCGTGAGCTCTTCAAACATTATGATCAGAGAATACAGATCATACAACGAATGTCAACGAACTTCCACAAAAGTACCTGCAATATCCAGTTCCTGAAAAAAAAAGTCTGGGGTTCCCGAGAAAGAGATGGATGCAACAACAAAAGTAAAGCTGCAATAAGCACCAGCCCAAATTCTTGAAGGGCGAAGAGGAAGAAGCTGTAACGAATACCAACAAACCAAAGAAAGTTCCTCATATTAGAAATGTAGCTACATACGCCGTCAACGTGTTCTTAATAATTATGACTAGAATTCGTGAACGTGCTTGGCTAATACTAAGAGTAATCAGAAAAATTGCAGGATGTAAATCACGTGTTTTGTTCTTTTCATTTCATGAAAACGATTCCTGCTGAAATTGGACAAAAATGTTTCTGGACACATTTGCTTATTACTCGCAGGCACTGTTGGCAAAAAGAGAATCTTAAAAATCCTCTTTGTTTAATTGCGTAAGTGTGAAATTTTCATGAATAGAGGTTGCGTTTAAAGAACCTACACAGGTTGACAAGAAAATACTAGTTACCCAATAAGAAATAATTGCATTGTTCACTCAGATATACACCATGGTATGTCCCAATATTTTTATGAAAAAAAATATAAACTTTGATACAAGATTAACACGTTGATTGCTGTGGCCATCGGTGGCCACCCAGTCCAACCGGTGCGGCGCGGAGGCAGCAGGGGACGACGCGGAGCGGTGGCAGTGGGGAGCAAGGGGTTCGGTGGGCTAGTCGCGAACCGTGGTACGGGGAGGGGGGGCTGGCAGCCGGAGAGAGCAGATCACTACGAGTGCCAGGCAGACGGTCATATAGAGAAGTCAAGGAGTCGAGTCAGTCAAGATTACATGTTGAGCGAAAACGGTGACTAGGAAGCTGAGGTGCCGACTACAAGCTGGCCAGAAGGTAAGAAAATGTGTTGGTGATCTGTATTGCCAAAATGCCCGGCGCCCGCCCGGCTCTGGTGACGCTGCGAGCCGGCCTAGCGCCTTGAGCGTCGCGTTATCGCAGCGCGCAGTCGATCTGGGCTTCGGGGCGCCGCCGCTCACGCGCCGGCGCCGCTCGCCATTCAGGAATGGTACTTTCCGCAAAGGTTTAACTCGCCTTCTCTCCGCACTTTCTGTAATAAATTAAGGTATCCGCGGTTGGCTAGTTTCAGATGCGCCAACACCTTTTTGCGGGCACTGACCGCCCTTGAGCAGTCCAAACGGAAAAAGGGATGTTGCGGTTTACCATTCAACTTGGGGACTGCAATATCCGCACATTGTAGTACAGTACTGTTGTAATGTGCTCACATTTCTTCAATACTAAGTGGCCCTCTGAAAGATTGACGTTCGCTTGTTATTTGCACGTTGTACATATCATTCAGGAGGTCGAGCCAATCCATGAACAAGTCCATCAATGTAGATAGTGGAATAATAGACACTTCCACACAGGTCGTCTAGAATAGACCTTTGCAGAACAGCTGCAAGTGATGGGCTGCAGGTAGCCACATCAATACTCGTGCTGGAGTTTGTGGCTAAGGCGAAATGAGGTGGTTCACCTGGATTTAGAATAACCAAGTTCGAGGAGGCTATAACTGGTTCCAACAGGTCGCCTCTCGGACAAAAGCGGGAAGAGCCCCACAGAGGACTGTGGGCATTTACATCACCGACTACTTGGAATGGTGAGGTTAGTTGTCTTATCACTGCCAAGAGTTCGTCGGCGGATACACTACGCCCTGGAGACATGCAAATGTTAGAGACAGTCAGCGCAAGCATTGGGAGGTCCACCTGCACACACACACTGTTCGAAGCTCGGTCTGAATTGAAACATCTGGAGAGAACAACTGGAGTCATCTATGAAACGAGCCATGTGCGCGGAGGCCGTCATCAACATCAATCCTACATAGGGTAAAACCGCGAAAGGATATGTTTCGAGGTGGGACTAGATGCGTCTCCTGCAAACAGATTACCGAAGACCTGTAACGGGGCAGCAGCAGTTTGAGTTCTTCCCGTCGCGAGCAAAAACTATTTAAATTCCAAGATAGAACAGCAATACTATGCGTAGATAGATCTGCTTTCCATTTTCATTTCCGCTCACTGCTGCTCGTAGGGCCGAGTGTCCATCCGCTGAAGGTTCCTCCGAGGCAGAGTCCTCCAGACAACTACTCCACAAGCTGAATCAATCCCGTCCCGCAGGGCGAGAGTCAGGAGTTTGAGCAAGTGGTCAGTGGTTCGAAGGGCGGTGATTTCGCTGCCAGTCTGAGATGGAAGACAGACAGAGATCGACCTTCACGCGGCGCTGATTAGAAGTGGATGGGTAGATTGAGCGCATACCTTTTGTAGTCTGTTTCTTGTATTTGGTGGAAATTACTATTTTCCTCCTTGCAGAGGCGATGTCTCTTCGGTGAAATCCACTGGCGACACCTGACAGTAGAAATACGCTACTGGGGGAGCAGCAGGTGAAGCCTGACAACTCGCTGTTGCGTCCGCCGACTTGGTTACATCACTGGAGAATGAACGAGTAAGATCTACTGGGTTCTTCACAGATATCGCCGTTTCCTCTCAGGAAAGGACACTCTTTCACTAGGATCTTTTGAATCTCCCTCGCCCTCAGGAACAAGTCTTCACAATTCACACATGGCACAGGTATCTGGATCGTTTGTGGATTTGCCGCACTTTGCGCAAACAAAGCTTTCGGCCATGCACCGTTGTTGTGTACGGTCCAACCTCCGACACTTGACGCAGCGCAGAGGTTTAGGTACATACCTCCGCACGCGAATATTATTAAACCCACAACTATTCATCTCGGGGGAGATGGGAAATTGGACGTCAGGATCAAAGTGAGAGTGGGGATCCCTGACTCATGGTCCTTCATCTTGATCCTGAACATTTCAGTGACACCCTAGTTCTTACAGAGGAGAATTTCCTCTTCTCTCTCGAACGCGAAATCCTCGTGGTTAACCACTCCCTCACAAAGGTCAAGGGCAGGGTGTGTGTTCACTTCCACTTGGAGGCCGGCAATCAGATTAGTTTTATCTTCTGAATCTGCTCATAAGTGCGTGCCTCAAAAAGAAAGATACCATTCATTTGTCGCATGAGCGCTTGGAGCTTTCCAAAAGAATCCTAATTGCTCGCGTAAGACAGACCGCGCTCTTACTCTTTAAGAGCTTCGGCGCATAACATAGATGAAACCGAGGTTTCTTGGTTGCTCACATCGACTCTTCCTTGCGGAAGAGGGCAAGGGATTGGGTTTTTGCATCATAAAAAGGAAGCAGTTTCACATGAAATGCGACGCATCAATGAAAAATGAACACATGAGAGCCATTTCTGCATCATCCGTCGACGTGGTGCGGGCCTTTGTCGGGCGATAAGAGGGCACCGACGCAACCCTTTAATAATCCATTTCCGGGACAACCCCAAAAAACATACAAAAATGTATTTGTCGCCGATGCCATCTTGGGTAGCGCCTCTTGCTATGCCACATCGCCAGAGAGTATTTGATGCCACCGTATGAGTACCCGACCAGCACCCCCGCCAGGCCTGGTGTACGATGTCCGGCCCTCTCCGTTCCGGCGCCTCACATTGGAATAAAATGTCTAAAAGCTGAGCAAAATTTGAAAAAAAGACGTTTCTAATTTTTAGCTCTTAGGTTCACTACACTATTGTTGGGGCTATTAAATCTCATACGTAAGAACAGCCGGAACTTACCAGTGAAACCCGTATTTGAAGTTGATCATTGGGCTCTGCTGTGTTTACAGTACAGACAAGTTACAAGAAAACAATTACAGAAATTTTTAGTGCGAAGTTGAAGCCAAATATTTTTTTCTTTGAAAATAATTGAAATTTTTAAATGGAACATGTTACAGAAGGTATAAGCCTTTGTTTAATCATTTTTTCATGTTAACATGTTATTTAAACTGAATGTTCGTGAAAGTAAATAAGAAAAAAAAATATTTTAAAAAATGAATGAAAAACAGATAAGTAACAAATCCCACATTTAAATTCAAATTTCTTGATGATATTTATAGTATTCACTTCACGATCATTTTATAAAATCGTGCGAATAGGCACAAATCCGAAAATGAGTCATGTTTATAGCGGTAGCAGCAAAATCCTGTTTTCTCTGACATTATTAAATTTAATTTAAAAGTATAGAGTACGGTCCTTGTCCATAAAAATAATATATAAATGGGTAATAAGATATAAAGGACAACATACTAAAAAAATTGAGGAAATACAAATTTTTCTTCCAACATGTGCCGCTTAACTTAAACAATACCACAGCAAAAAGGCATAGCAGTCTACTGTAATATTATGAAGCAGTAAGACGAAGGCATTTGGTTTTCTTCATTCACGTATTCACTTCTTACCGCATTCACAGATAA